TACAAACCATTAATAAGATTAATCATTCACAATTTTTTAAAAGAATATATTCTTAAGCTTTTCTAATCCTAATTATGGTTCGATTTCTAAATTTAAATGATTATGCGGAATTATTGTTTTTTATAGCTATCCAACATGAAATTTTATTCCCACTCAAATTAGTGACATGTAAATAATGATCTATAAATTATGCATCTAAGGTCTACTTTTAAAAGACTGATAAGGTGATGAAAGAAAAATAGGCCTAAAACTAATGATAGGTAACAATGTACATTTTTACACTTAAATAATAGTCTTATCTGCTGGTGAAGGTTCTCAGTCATCGAGGTCATAGTCATTCCAAAAAGATTAAAAGCAATCCACTGGTTTCCATGTCTAAAGACGTTTTGCTTCCCATCCAGCAAGCTTTTTCAATAACAAAAATTCAGAAATAGCGTCGCCATCGAGATCGAGGTTTTATACAGTAGCCCGACAAAGGCTTGTTTTTGTTTTGAAAACATGTAAATTGGAACAGACAAAGGGGTCCACCTATTTGGAATGGGGGTCGTTTGGCTTTTTTGTTAGACTGCAACACCCCATACCCAAGTTTTGGAAAGGTCGGTCCTTCAAAGGGATTGTCGGACTGGCTGAATAGACAAGGTCCTCCAATTTCCTGTGCAGGGGGCTCGGGCTGCGATGATAACGGAAAGGGATTAACTCAATAGCTGCATTGTAAGTTTTAGGAAGCTGGAACCTGAGTCCACCCCATATGTTTAAGGTTGTTTTTTCTTTTTTAACATAGATGGCTTCCTTCACGCCCCTCTCAAACCACCTTTTTTCTTTATAAACTATTGTGGAAAAGTTCTGAAACGCAACAGCGAGCCAATACCAAGGTGTAATAAACTAACACATCATCAATGATAATTATCCTAACATTTCCCCCTGAAAAGGTGACGTTTTCAATGTCACATTTCTCTTTCTTGGAGATTATTAGATAAGATGGGTCTTTACATGTATAAGCTTCAGTACTTTATAAATTACTTCCAGTATAGATTTGCACCCCTATATAACATTAATATAACATAGAACAGGATTAGAATGGAAGTTAATTTACGTTTGAGTTTGCAGGCAAGGGAAGTCCAGTATATGTTTCATAATGGCAAAACATTACTTTACGTTCATTCAGAGTAATTGTCATGAGTGTCACATGTAAATTTCTAATATTTTAATGTTTCAGATTGTTGTAACATGATGCCACCTACTGACATACAAGTGTTTATTTTGAACAGACAAAACTTAACCCCTGAAGTATCCAACAAACTGAAAAACACTCCAGAACCTGTCTGTGTTTAAGAAAATATTATGTGATGAATGATAATACAAAAATAAATATTAACCTGAAGTTACATAAATTTGTTGTTTCCTGTTGGTTTTCCAGTTTTTATCTCTAACAGGGTATCTTCAGAGTTTTTTCTAAAATTAACTAAATCCATTTATCGATTGTCTCCGTCCGTCATCCCTGTTCTTGTTGAAGAAAACCTTCATCCTGTGGTACGGTGAAGTTGTACTGATGGTGGTGTGCAGCATTAGTTTTTCCACAGTGTCATTCAAACAAGGTACAGTTCAAGCAAGTCATTTCAGTGACCTTCCACATCCAGGTAGGTTTGACAGGTCCGTTTTTGTGTGATAAATTAATAAGCAAACAGATTTTTGATGAATCGGAGGTAGTTTTATGGTTTACAAATTATATTTCTCCTCTTAAAGTGGAGGAAGTTAGGACCCAGAAAAGACTGGTAGGAGGACAGTAGAGTGTGTGTCTGTACACAAATGGGGAAAAAAACGTGTGCATCATTACACAAAACAATGTGTGACAGTCACTGCCATACACAGGACAGGACAGACTTATCAGAGGAGGAATGAAAAAAGACAAAATCTGTCAAAGGAAAAGACACAAATTAGAAAGTTTATTTCTTTCTGAACAGAGGTGGATAAATGATTGCTGTACATTTGATGAAAAAAAAAACAAAGCATCTCGTCTGTTTACTTTTTTAAGCAACTTTATGGAATTAAAGTCAATATAGTTGGCTTTAAATTAGACAAACTCAGAGTGAACCAGGGGTAAGTCTTTTTTTATTAAAATCTGTTTTGCCTTTTTAGTAGTATATTGACATATTGGGCTTACCAGTTATCTGTCAACATGAAAAGGTCACTTAAATAACAGTTGTCTCATCTGAAGCAGCACAGTGCTACTAGGAAAAAAATCATTGTGACACCATAAAGCTTAAAACATTAATTTTAGGATGTTATATATCTTGTTGTCTTAATTAACTTAGAGCTTTTGCAGCTTTATTAAATGTCAAAATGTCACTGAAATGAAAATGAAGAACCTGCAATGCTTTTTTTGGCAATAATGTTAATACAGATAGATGTTTCTTATATTTTCCATGGTTAACAAATATTAGCATTTGATTTTGAATCGGTGGGAACATGATAAATGGTTTTCTAAATGTTTTACCCCAAGGATGTACCAAGAAAAATCTAATATTTGTATATGACATGACAGAGTCAACGTTTTAAAGCTACAGTTACAGCTGATTTGTGTGTACCTGCTTCCTAAAGTGTTTGCTGATACTGCTTTACAAAAAAACTACTCATGCTCTGTCAGATCAGATGGAGAGTATATAAACATATATTTAGATCTTTTTCCCCCCAAATATTGTCAGTTAAATTTATAGTCTGGACTTCAATATGGCATTTTAACATTTGAATCCAGTTTGCTCAAAGCTAGTCCCCCATAGCTGTGGTTATAGGTTCAGGGAGGTCTTTTTGCTGGATGGCATACCTTCCTTCCCAATCTAATCTGTTACAGGCTTTAAAACCTTTTACCTTCTAGATTTCCATGTACTACATGGCTGGTGGTAAACACACAGATGAACATTTTATGGCTTTCTTTTAACAACAGATTTTTTTTTCTTTTCCGTTTCCCCTTCCCATAGGATGGATCTATGAAACAGTATTTGTCAGAACTTGAATCTAATTCAACATGTAAATGAATTTAAAAAACAAACAAAAAACATTTTGCAGACATATTAAGTTAAGGATTATGGTGAAATATGTTGCCTTGACTTTTGCCACAACAAATTAAAATAGCTATAACTATTCTTTATTGTGTAATAATGAAAACTGGAAATATGGAATTGCAGTGTTTATAGGGTTATCATAAAAAATAAATTGTGAAAAATAATAAGGTAAGAAGGATAGAAAATATTTAATAAATTGGTGTGAACTTTATGATAGATATGTTTAATAACTGTCTAGTTATTTTTTCAAAAGATCTCTAGATCTGAGATGCAAGTCTCATCAGAATGCACATTCTAATTTATTGAAATGATTGTATTTGAAATAATTAAACTTTTTTTATTGTTGTTTTGTGATAATTGTTGAAATAAAATCTCCCCTATTTTTCTTCCAACAGCAATTTCACTTATGGGAACATCTGAGCTAACAATGGAGGAGGAAGTGAATAAATGATGGCGGACATGACTGGGTCCATCATCCCATCTGTTTCTGATACTGCTGTCGCAAACTCTACCACTGCCCTGTCGGGGTCCAATCCCACCGTCCCTGCTGATGTCGGCGTCGTAACAAGCTCCCAATCCCAAGTTAAGGACCTTTTCGGGTTGTTCTGCATGGTGACGCTTAACCTCATTGCTCTGCTGGCCAACACTGGTGTAATGGTGGCTATAGCTCGTGCTCCTCATCTGAAGAAGTTTGCTTTTGCGTGTCACCTGTGTGCAGTAGACCTGCTATGCGCCATCCTCCTGATGCCTTTGGGCATTATATCCAGCTCTCCATACTTCGGCACAGTGGTGTTCACTGTTCTGGAGTGCCAAGTTTACATCTTTCTTAATGTTTTCCTCATCTGTCTTTCCATTCTCACCATCACTGCCATCAGCTTGGAACGTTACTTCTACATTGTCCACCCAATGCTTTATGAAGTCAAGATGACCATCAACCTTGCTATTGGTGTAATGGTCCTCATCTGGGTTAAATCACTCCTCTTAGCAGTGGTCACATTGTTTGGATGGCCAGCCTATGGACCTCAGAGCTCCATTGCCGCAGCTCACTGCTCTCTTCACGCAACCCACAGCCGTCTAAGAAGAGTATTTGGTGTGCTTTTCTGCGTGATTTGTTTCCTAGCCCCTGTAGTTGTCATCTTTAGTGTTTACTGTGCTGTGTATAAGGTTGCGCGGTCAGCAGCCTTACAGCAAGTCCCAGCCGTGGCAACATGGGTCAATACGTGCCCTGCTAAAGATCGCTCTGACTCAATCAACAGCCAAACTACCATGATCTCCACCAGCCGAACTCTACCTCAGAGACTGTCCCCAGAGAGGGCGTTTAGTGGAGGAAAAGCTGCGATAACTTTGGTGTTTATTGTGGGCCAGTTCTTGGTTTGTTGGTTGCCCTACTTCATCTTCCATGTTCAAATGTCTCTCAGCGGCTCCATGCAAAGCCCAGGGGACTTGGAAGAGGCGGTAACCTGGCTTGCTTACTCTTCATTCGCAATTAATCCATTCTTCTATGGTCTCTTAAATAGACAAATCAGAGACGAGTTGGTCAAGTTTCGACGCTGTTGCCTGAACCAGCCCACAGAGGTCGGAGCGTCCAGTCAAGAGGCCTCATTTCAGGAAAACTTCCTTCAGTTTATTCAGAGAACTACAAGCACACTTGAAAGACGTTCAAGCTGTTCTAACTCCAGCCCAACAAACACTTTAGGCCAGGCAAACATTATTCCTGGACAAATACCAGAGGAACACGCATAAATCCTGTAATACTGTGCTAACGAGATACCTAAATAACAAACATTTAAAATATAAATGGTCCACAACTATTTGTAGGCCAGTTATCACTTATTACTTTAATATGTTAAATCTTTGATTTCTGCTCTTCACTGATGGAACTATTTGTTGTTTCAGTTGAACCTTCACATGCTCTCATCAGGGTTTTAGATGCTATATTAATATTGGTTGTTTCTTTTCTGTTTCCTAACTTTTTTAGGGTAAAATTACTAAACAGACAACCAAAAAATTTTCCTTAAATCTGATTGCACAATATCCATTATCAATTATGGTTTCATCATACAAGACTCAAAGTGTATGTATGCACATACACTGTTATTTGGATACACGTCCCATGACAAGTTTCCCCCTTTGATGCCATAAAAAAGTGTCTACAGAAAAATATATTTTATATATTTTCTTGGCACAGCCTTGTCTTTGAATGTAATTTATACTTTTATAGTTGGTATCATGTGAGGCCCATTTATGGTATGGTTATTTGGATTAATTTCTTCAAAAAATAGTTTTAATTATCTTTGGGATGTTTGTCTTCTAAAACAACAAACTACCATTTTGTTAATTACCAATTTATTGTCATGAACCCGTCTGGCACTTAATTGCAGAACCTGCACCATGATGCTACCACATAATACTTTAGAGTTAATAATGTTTTTTAGTTTTAAAATCCTAACCTTAAGTTTTCCCAACATACCTCTAATGATCGTGGCAAATGGGGCAAATTATGTCTCTAATGACTGGTAAATGGTTTTCCATGAAGCAATGGATTTCTCCATGCCATTGCATACAAATTTCAGTCTTCATGGAGAGTGTCAATTTGGATATTTCCTTTTCTTTCTTGCTTGGTGCTCTTATGGTCAAATTTTTATTTATTTTTTA